CAGCCCAAGTGCCATGCAAAGAAGACGGGAGCCAGACCCACATCTGGTATCCACAAACCATGCCTGGAACTCCCACTAAACCCCAAGTATTTTCTTAGCCTTAGCATCCCATTGCCCTTCTGCCACCTTTTCCCTCAGATCCCTGGGGGTAAGGTAGCCAAATCTGCATGTGGAAGCTCTGGGCTGTTGGAGTGTGAGTTTGTCCACAAGACCAGCAGGGAGTGACAAAGGCCAGCATGGGAGCCTTACACTGCTTTTGGGAGGACCAGGAGAGTGCTCAAGTTGTTGGAGTAGGTGGGCCATCGCCATCCTGTGCCTTCCAGAGCAATACCAACCTTGTTTTGGAACAAGGAGGGAACTTCATCTTCTTTTATGATGTTCAGTTAGCCAGCATATAGTACATCATAAGTTTTTGTCGTAGTGTTCAACAATTCATTATTTGTGTGAAAGACCCAGTGCTCATCCTAACACGTGCCCTCCTTAATGCCCATCACCCATTTACTCCATGCCCCCACCACCCTCCCCTCTGAAAACCTCACTTTGTTTCCTGGAGTCCAGAGTCTCTCATGGTTTGTCTCCGTCCCTGATTTCTTCCCAGCTTTTCCTCCCTTCCCTTGTGGTCCTCCGCGCTATTCCTTATGTTCCACATAGGCATGAAACCATATGATAATTGACTCTCTCTGCTTGACTTATTTCACTCAGCCTGATCCCCTCCAGTTCCATCCACGTTGATGCAAATGGTGGATAATCATCCTTTCCGACGGCTGAGTAAGGAGGGGTCTTTAAACATTTCTAGGGACTGTCATCTGTCTGCAATGTGTGGTACTCAGAAACACCAGCACCACCTTCAGCATTCTTCTCCCGCCCATTTTGACTTACTGCCATTGATAATATGACACTGTTGTTACCTCTATGTCTACTTACCGCATTTCAGCAAACCCTAAGGCTCTTGTTCCTCAAGACAAATGAATAAATATCCTGCTTCAAGTGTAATAATACTGCTTATGCCTCCTTGAACATACTTGGCCAGGAGTTTTAGAGACTGCTGTTCTCTTTAACACTTCCAGTCGTTTCCTTGGTCAAATGTGGGGAGTCTGGTGCAGGCTGTGGTTGGGCATGTCTGGGCAGGATGGTTAAGATCGCTAGTCCCTGTTTCTATCCTGAGTGGAGAAGGGCGTGTTTGATTCTGGAGTCAGCTGGGATCTCAGGACGAATCCATCTGAGGAGACCAGGGTTAAAAGGGAACAGAGAGGGAGAGCCAAGGGTGGCATAAAGCCATACAGACAGAGTCAAGCCACAAAGATCAGCTATATGGAGCTAGTTCACTTGGACTCAGTTACCCTTACAAGTAGGACCTTATCACCTCCCTCTTCCTGGTTTCGAGAACCTTATTATGGCTCTATTGTGCCATTATCTGAGGGTCACTGACTCTTGGAAAACATAAGCAGAGGGGGTTTGGAGACAAAAAATTATGAGAAAAATGCCCCCCGTTTCTGTTACTCAGATCCTGTTCAGTGCCAGTGAAGAAACAAGCGGCTCTAGACACCTGGAAAGACTCTGACTGCACTGTATCTAAGTCTGTCTTTACCAGTCGTAGGATGTGGGGCACACACTGGGGAGCCATCATTCAGGGATCAGGACATTACGGTTCTCTCAAACTTTGATTTTCCCACGCAGCCCCTTCTCACTGTGTCGGCAGTGGGGATTTTGTCCTGTGTGTACGATTCTCTCAAGAGCTCAGATTCTCAAACTGACCAAGTCTTAAATAAATTTGTTTTGTTACCCGGGGAGACTTGGTTTGAAAAGAATAGAATGACAAAGGAAGATGACAGTGGTTCTCATGGGTGAAGTGTCCATACAGACAGGTGGAAAATGGCTTCATTTCAGTCTGCAGCTCACCAGGACCAGCGGGATGGCTCTGTTTGCATAAAGAGGATATTTCAATACTTCCTTGAGGGTATCTAGGGACAGAGGTATCCCATGAGACCAGAATGGTCTTCAAGGGAGGACAGAGAGTCCTTGTTATTTTGGAGGCTCCTGGAAGTGGGCAGTTTTGAGTGGAAAGAATCGTCAAATGGGAACATAAGCTATCTACATATTGATAATGGAATGGAACAACAATCTTTCTGTTCAGTTAAAGTGATTTAGACTAGGTTGACAAAGCACCTGGTCTGAACAGGGACAAAGTATTTTGTCTATGAACTTGTTCCAGACTTAGTTATACTCAGTCGTCTTGTTCTGAGCTCCCACAGGCCTCCCATCAGGCTGTGGAACCTGCCACATTTTATGTTAGCTGGCTGGACATATATCTGTCTTCCTGCTAGAGTCTGAGCTTCTAGAGCACCTGGATGACTCAGTGGGTTTAGCATCTGCCTTCAGCTCAGGTCACGATCCTGGGGTCCTGGGATGGAGCCCCCTGTCAGGCTCACTGCTCGTCAGGGAGTCCGCTCTTCCTTCCCTCTCTCTCCTTCCTCCCAACTCATACATGCTCTCTCTCGTGCTCTCTCTCTTAAATCAATCAGTCTTTAAAGTCTGAGCCTCTGCTCCCTGAGTTGAGCAAGGAGGTGAGCCATTTGTTCAGTTCCCCTCAGTATCTTCTTTTCAAAAAGTGCAGGACAGTGAAATACCACAGATCCTAAAGGCAGGACTTCTGGATTTGAGTTCTGAAGCTCCATCCTGTCTTCCAGCTGGAACTTTGGGACACAGAACCTTGTCACATTTGAATCTCAGATGCTCTGGTCAATGATCTGTAGCGGCCAAACAGCACTATGGAGGAGATTTGGTTGGAAACGTGGTTTTAAAAATTCAGATTCTTAATGAAGTGTTCCCAATATGAAAGTGTTAGAGTAGGAGACAGACCACTGACTTTCAAAAATATTCTAGGTGACTAGAATCAATTTGGTTCTGGAAACATTGACTTATATTATTTTTTTAAGATTTTATTTATTTGAGAGAGAGAGAGAGAGCATAAGAGTGGAGTAAGGGGCAGAGGGAGAAGCAGACTCCCCGATGAGCAAGAGTCCGATGCAGAGTTTCCTCCCAGGACCCTGGGATCATGACCTGAGCCGAAGGCAGATGCTTAACCAACTGAGTCACCCAGGTGACCTGACTTAAATTATTTTTAAGCCCACTTCTAATTTTAATGTTCTAAGAACATCTGTAAATCTGAGTGTGACACTTCTGCTTCGTTTTTAGGGTTGAACAACACACATGGTGTGTGTGTGTGTGTGTGTGTGTGTATGAAATGTGTAGCAAAGCCCAACCCCCAATTCTAGGTAAATGAGAACGATGTTAGTGAGGAGAAAGAAGGGAAGAAAAGTTATAGCACAATTTGCACATACTAGGGAGTAATCTATATGGATTTATGCAATGAGGGAATTGTGTGATTTCTGAGGAAGAGTAAGCCTGAGCAAGCCATTATTAACTTGAGTGTCTAAGTAAAGGGGGGCAATATTTACTAAGATCTAGAATAGTAAATGAAGGTCAGTTTTGTAAAGAAAGGAATAAATTGCAATAAACACAAGTCACTTTTAGGTGCCTATCAGAAGTCCAGTTAGGAAGACCAATGCCTTATAAAACTTTAGCAAGAGGTTAAAGTTGGAAATACAGTGTTAGATTTTTATCAGACAGGACCCATGTAGGTCAACAGAAATTATACTGGGTATTTAGAAAGAAGGAATGGTGACCAAGACATGCCTAAGAGGTCACTGGTTTCCTTGTAAAGAGAAATTCCAGCAGCAAAAAGGTGGCAAAGGATGATGTTTCTGTAAGTTGAGAAGAAAAGAGAGATACATTATACATACCCCAGTTCATTTGGCAAAAAAATAAAAAAAAAAAAAAAGAAAAGAAGGGAAGAATAAAGGGAGGAAAAACAGGGGAAGAGACCTAAGTACATTTAAATTCTCAAAGGCAGTTATTTTATCTGAGACTGTGGGTAAGAAACTTCTTGGGAAAGCCTAGGACCTGAGTCCCTTGCAACGGCGAGCATCATCTGCTCGCTTCATTCTTATATGGTTTTCAGAATAAAAAATTTGGCCCATTAACCATAAAGATAAATAATAGCACCAGAACATTTTTTGAAACACATTTTTATTTCTTATCTTACAGGCTTTTACAAATTGTCTTATCCTAGGAAATTGTGTTTTATTTTGTTCTCTCTTATTTACATCTCTACAGGAAGTGGGCTTAACTGAATAGGTGATGAAATTCTCCAGAGCAGACCAAAGGGGCTGTGTTTCTTCTGTTCTGGAAGGGTGTGCTGTAAATCGAAGATGAAAATGGCCTGTGAAGTATATCTTGCTCTACCTCAAACCTGGGCCTCTGAATTTTGGCAAGTTAGGGCAGAGGCAAACCTGTGTGTCCTTACCATCGGCCCTGAAAAGCAAGGATTGCAAGGTCACGGGAGGGATTTTGGAAAGTATGCAATTTTTCTGCAGCTGGTTTCCACTTCTTCCTCCACCCAACTGTTTACTGGAGCTGCTAAGAAGCGTTCCATCTTCAGACTTCTGCCCTTGGCCAGCGCACCATTCTGTGGACATGCTAACAACCTAAGACCCCAAAACCAGAAGTCTGAATACGGCTGCGACTAAGCCAGCAACAGTGAGATCTTCTTGGGCCTATATCTCCTTCTCTGTAATGAAGGTGTGGAGTTAAACTTATCTCTAGGGACCTTGTGTTTGAACTGTCCATGAATGACACATTCTCATTGCAAGTGGCCAGAATGAAGATGCTCTCAATCTTGGGCCACCTTAAACTTTGACACAGGCCAGTTTCATTGTGGCACTTGATGTCCGGGATTGGACAGGGAGTGGGGGCCATTCTAATTGTCTGTGAAGGAGCTGGAGAAGTCCATGCTGACAGTATGGCTAAGGCAGCGACGATTCGTGTCCAGCATGTGGGCCATTTACTATGTGGTTGAAAATCCTCTTATCACAGACACCAGAGTCTGAACAGCAAAGGCCCAGGGTCACACTTCTGTCTGAAGCCAGGACTTTAGAACCTCTTTCAAGCACAGTCCCACCTTTCCATTGTACCTGTTTTATCTGTTCATTTGCTCACTCACTATGCCAGCAAGTGGGGATAGCCAAGGTAAACCCCACACAGTTTGTTTCCTTGGGGATCTCCTGGATTAGAGAAGATATTTCTCTGCAGCGTCAGAAGCTGGACTGACAGCTTCATTCAAATAATGTCAAGTTTGGAGGTCAAGAGAGAAAATCCAGACAGGTTTGCTGCATGGAGCTCACAGCCAGAGGACCTTTGCCTCTTACTTTTTGTAGCTGCTGCTTGGCTTTTACTTGTTCCCCTTTTTCTTGCAGCAAAATGGTGTCAATTCAGCTCGACAGCCCCCAATCTTAACTTCGAAGGAGAGACACTCGACTTCACAGCGCCCATCCCTTTTCTTACACTGTATCTGTCTGTATATTCCTCCGTGGGCTAAGTGAAGAAAGCAGGGCTTCAGTTACCCAATCACTGGTGACCAGAAAGCAACACAACATCACCCAGGCCAAATTCACAGCTCCTCATTACCAAATCTCCTGCAGACACAGAGTACACACCTAGAGATCAGAAAAAGCACATGCCACCTGAATAGTGATGTGGGAGCTCAGATTCTCTGCACAACTGATTCAGTGTCCCTACTTGGTATTCAATTTCTTCTACCACAGTCATTTCTAGAGTATCTAGAAGTAGAGAACTTCTTCCTGGGAGGGAGGCATTATACTTTCTAATTCCAATAAACAGTCCTTTCCAATTTGTGATTCTTTCACATCTCCAAATTAATAGTCTCAGATATGTAACAAAAGGTAAAGACAATACTGTTGACACGGTAGACAAGTCAATGATAGCCTACATGCACTGCTATGTGGTTGTTGAGTTTCACAATTTTAAGTGCGAAGATAAAAGAAATGTGGTACTGGTCCACTTTGTAGACATATCACTGGGATAGGCAACAAATTTTCCTTCAGAACAAAGACTAAGCTGAAGAGATCAAAATTATTTTGAGAAGAATGATTGAAAAAAGTTTTTGGTGATACATGTTCTCAGGACAAATAATAGAAAAAAAAGGGAATCAGTTCTCAAAAGGAAATTATTACTCTCAAAAAGAAATTATTCTCGGAAAGTACAACTCTGGGGTTGGGGAGAATATATATGGTTGTCATATACCTGAGATACTGCCGTGCTGAAGAGACACTGATCTTGTTCATGCCCCGGTTAAGACTCAGACCAATGGAAAGGAATCACATAACCTTAGATTTCTGCTCAAAGTAAGGGGAATTTTTTAATAGCCCAAAGTTGAACTTGGGATATTGTAACAGGTCACTGAACTTCATCAGGCAACTGGGCAATCGATTGATGTGGAATACCTATAAGGTGTTTAAATATTGGGGCAGATAACAAGAATGAGAATGATGATAAAAAAAAACAAGGACAGGCAAACGATAGTAATAGCGAAGTTTCTCAGGGCACAGAGGATGTGCCTGGCTTTGTTTAAGCAGTTTACCTAAACAGAGGGATTGTTAAAATTTGCCCAATCAGTAGTTTTCTTTTCAGATAATGGATAACACATGGAGACTCAGCAAAATGTGCCAGTCCCTGGTCCGGTGTCTCTGCACGGCCCCATGGATAAGTTTGGATGAATGGAACAGGAATGGAATGATGCAGCTACTTCTATGCAATCTTTTTAATCATGCCCTTTACTTACTTTTCAGCCCTTTCTGTTAGAGCATCTTTAGAATCAGATAAAACAGTCACATGTTTAGGATGCAAAGTTAACCTTCCTCCCTAGTCTCAACATGACTTGATGGAGAAGGACCTTCTTTCTACCCACAATAGTCAACTTACTTGTCTTTGGACTTTTCCATAAGAGAAAAATAAATTTTTTTTTCATTTACTCTCTTTTTAAGTGTCTTTGTTAAAATAAGTTTGCCTTTACTCTAATTAATGCAACAAGTGTCTTCATCTTTCAAATGATCCTATTATTATTACCATTTATAGGAAGGAAATTGAAGCACAAGAGTTGACAGAACTTAAAAGGATGGCAACTGAGACCCAACCTCACATGTTTTGGCATAATAGTAGTGTTCATTACCTCTTGTATTGATCATTAAACTCACTTCCAGCTCTGAGATTTTCTGTGGTTGTTGTGATCATGGTGGTCCTTATCCGAGCCCACACTGTGCTTATTATTAGGATTCAAATGTGCCTGAGTAAGTTTGGGAACAGGAGTCCTTAGTGAATCAGAGACCTGACAAATGGGGATGGAGAAGACGGCTTAAAATGTGTTTCTCCACCAGAATCCATTGTCTGACCTCCGAGAAAAGAGACTGGGGCAGAAGCTAAGAAACTGATTTGATAAATGAGCCTTTGAAACACAAAGACATGTTTTTATGTCTGCTTTCAAAAGTGCAATAGAATGCCACCTCTCAGAAAGCCCCGCCTGATCCCACAGCTGGAACCAAGCTTCTATCTCTATGGCTTCTCTTTATAGTCTGCATCTTTTATGGTGTTTATGGGAACTGTTCTGTGCATCTTCCCATCTTTTCCATTCACTTACATACACATTTGAAATGTATCAAATGCTATTTACTATTCTGGGCAACCTATCTTTTTAACCAATACAGAAATAATAAAATCATAAACTTCAAGCAAATTAAGGGTGAAGACCATACTCTGATTATATTTTTGACCTTCCACTTTACCTACTTTTGCTATCATGCCCAAACAATTTCTCATTAAGTGGTAGGCACACACTTCATATCTGTTGGCTTGGTAGGCCTACTGAAGCCTGATTGTATAGAAATAAGTGTAGAAATCCAGGAACCATGAAGAAGTAAAGTGCTTCATGATACATGGGGAACCCCCATTAGAAACAGCTTCATAACAGAAAGAATGAAGCATAGTTGAGAAGGGATGAATATAAAAGTTTCTTAGGGGGACACCTGGGTGTCTCCATTGGTTGGATATCTGACTCTAGATTTTGGTTCAGGTCATGATCTCAGGTTCACAGGATGAAGCCCCACATTGGGCTCTGGGGTCTTTGGGGAGTCTGCTTGAGATTCTCTTTCTCTGTCCTTCTCCCCCTCCCCCAGCTCTTTCTCTCTAAAATAAATAAATAAATCTTTTTAAAAATTTTCTTACGGATAAAGTCTTGGCTGTACTGAGCAAAAAGAGACCATTTCAAAGCTCTCAAAGATCGAAAAGCAAACTAACCAAGTCTCTAGTTGTTTAAATGATAAAATTTTTCATAAGTATGGAAGAACTAGAAAGAAATTCTGAATAATCAAAGATTAGGAGATTTGAACCAACTAGTAAGACATACAAAAATAGACCAAGAACCTCTTATCATGAGTTTAGTCTCATTCAGGCTACAAAAGCTATAATTCTCTAAGTTAACAAGTGTGTTTGGAATTTGCCTCTGAAATGTTCTCTCATTTTAGAGCAATCATTTGGCATATGCTGAAGCTGTGTTGAAGAATACAGAAGGAAAGAGATCTGAATGTAAAGAGAAGTCTAAACCCCGGGTAAAACATTTAGGGAAATTAACCAGATACTCTTCTGGGTGGAGCTAATCTGGCTCCGTGTGGTCCCATTGTTTTGGGTCTCAGCTCAAGAAAAGATTTCCAGTAACTGCCCTGTCCTGGGACCACTTTAGAACACAGGGATGAGTCATGCACTTTTCTAAAACCTGAGCTTTCTTCTCAAAAGACAAATTGTCATCCTTACATCTATTAGGATTTCTCTCTTACCTGAGAAAATGTGAACAAGGAGAATGAGAGCAGCAGAAATTAAGGAAAAGATTCTCATGGCTCCAGACATCAGTGGAGAAAGGGTACAGTTGCTGGAATCCAGCACTTTTATAAAGGGAAGTTGATTAAAACAAGTTCTACGGCTCTGAAAGGGCTGGAAGTCAACTTGGGGTTTAGTGTTCATTACGAAGAAGCTATTGTTCATCCTCCACTGAGTAATGTGTGGGTTGCTGGATCAGATATTATCCCAATGATGTTTATGGGGGAGTAGGGCAGACAACTTGTTCTCCTGATTGTATTCCTCTATTTTATGTCTCTGCCTCCATGTCTGTTTTTCTCTGAAGCCCCATTTTGGGTACCTCCACTTCCAGAAGGTCTATAACTCTCATTCCTCTTCTTCTCTAAGATGATATGTTCAACCTGGTCTCTTATAAGACTCACTTGGCAGTTGTTAATGGGTGCCTGGTATAATGGCTTTTCAAAAATTATAGTATACGAAAATTTTTTTACCTGTCCAATGTGACTACAAACAAGCTCCACAGAAGAAAATGACTCTCCTTCGTCCTTTTCCTTCCATTCATTACTTGTGATACTGCTTTGCAGTAGTAGATGTTCAAAATACAAGGGTTCTTTGACTTATTAATTGACAATTGTCTAGTTAGAGGAACTCATGAAATAATTGATATGGAAATTGTTATTAAATGCTCAAAGTTTTTATATTTGTAAGATATTAATATTAAGGATAATGGCATTATGACTAAAAGTGACCATATCTCATATGTTACAGGAATAGCTTTCATTCACATATGGGTTGGGGAACTATTTATGTTTATTTATGTTACTAAGAAATTTGAATTTTATTCTAAAATCAAAGTGAAGTTATTGAAAGATTTTAAGTAGGGGGTTATTTGAAAGATTAAAACTCAAACAAGGAGTTCCATTTCAAATAAAGCAAAGTGAGCTCCTAACAGGTGAACCCTCCCACTGGTAATGAGTAAAACTTTGGGGGAAGAAATTACTTGAAGAATACGAAAGCTGAAACAAATACAAGAATATTTTATTTTATTTTATTTTTCAAAGATTTTATTTATTTATTTAACAGAGATCACAAGTAGGCAGAGAGACAGGCAGAGAAAGAGAGGGAAGCAGGCTCCCAGCTGAGCAGAGAGCCCGATGTGGGGCTTGGTCCCAGGACCCTGAGATCATGACCTGAGCTGAAAGCAGAGGCTTAACCGACTGAGCCACCCAGGTGCCCCACAAGAATATTTTAGAAAAAAGTCAAAACTTGGAAAAATGAAACAGCACAGAGTATGTTCTCTGTGCTTGCAATGTGGCATGGAAACCCTAACTCAAAACAAACAAACAAACAAAAATAGCTATCCTCTTTCTAAACTAAAAACACAAGGTCAGAGCCAAGGGAGACTGCATCTGTTGAAAATGAAGACCCAGAGAAGGGAGCTTAGGTTCTATGTGTAAACTCTGCCCATGACTTTAGATAACCCTTGAGCCATGCTTGCACCTAGATAAGGTAAAACAAAATGACAAACACACAAACACCGCTGAGATTTGAACTGCTACCCTACAGACAAGGTAATATTTGAAAATTGAGTTAAATAAAGTCACTTTCTTGTTAAAACAAAAACATCAGGGCACCCGGGTGGCTCAGTCAGTTAAACATCTGCCTTCAGCTCAGGTCATGATCCTGGGGCCCTCGGATCAAGTCTCACATGGAGCTCCCTGCTCAGCAGGGAGTCTGCTTCTCTCACTCCCTCTGCCCCTTCCCCCTGCTTGTTCTCTCTCTCCCTCTCCCTCTCTTTCAAACAAATAAATAAAATCTCTCTTTTTAAAAAATCTTTAAAAGAAGATTTTTAAAAAAGAGAGATTTTATTTATTTATTTGACAGAGAGAAACACAGCAAGAGAGGGAACACAGCAGAGAGAGTGGGAGAGGGAGAAGCAGGCTGAGCAGGGATCCCGATGAGGGGCTCCATCCCAGGACCCTGGGATCATGACCTGAGCCGAAGGCAGATGCTTAATGACTAAGCCACCCAGGCACCCCTAAAATCTTTAAAAAAAAAAAAACAACTTTTACAACATCAACATTCTTCTGAGGATGCAGAAACATCACATTTCCTCTTCAACATTCAGAGTGACCAGGACATCAATGATGTTGAAGTAATCAGACAAGGACTTTAATATACCTATTTCAATAAATTTTAAACATGCAAGATCTCATTAAAGAACAGAAAATATAAAGATACTTTGATACTAAAAAATACAATATCAGAAAAAAATTAACTGAATAGATTTGATAACATAGAAAATGTGACAGGATCATGAGTCACCGAATCAATAAAAATTATGAGATCTGTAGATCAGAGAGAAAAAAGATTGAGAAATACAGGCCTTTGAGGGCCTGGGGGATAATATCAAAGACAGGTAATTGAAGTCTCAGAATAAGGAGAGAAACACAATGGGGTAAAAGTAGTTCAAGGAAATAAAGGCTGAAAACTTCCAAATTTGTTGAAAGACAAATTGGCCAAACAAGGAAGTCTGCACATCGCAAAGGATATAAATACCATGCTTAGGCACATTATGGTCAAACTTCTGAAACCCAGAAAAGGGAGAAAATCATGAAAGCATCTAGAGAAGAGTAACACTTTCAGTTCAGGGAAACAATGATTGAGTTACCATTGGCTTCTGCTCAGAAACAAAAGAGGTCAGGAGACCGGTGATGCACCTTGCAGCGCAGAAGGAAAACAGGCACAACACTGTGGGCTCCAAACTCCATCTGCATGAAAAAGTCCTTTAAAAAAGGGTAACGGGGGGGTGCCTGGGTGGCTCAGGGGTTGGGCCTCTGCCTTTAGCTCAGGTCATGGTCCCAGGGTCCTGGGATCGAGCCCCGCATCGGGCTCTCTGCTCAGCAGGGAGCCTGCTTCCACCTCTATCTCTGCCTGCCTCTCTGCCTACTTGTGATCTCTCCCTCGCTCTCTGTCAAATGAATAAAATCTTTAAAAAAAATAAAAATTAAAAAAATAAAAATAAATAAAAATAAAAAAGGGTAATGGGGTGATGGGCATTAAGGAGGGCAGGTGTGGTGACACGTGTACTGGGTGTTAATGTGCAACTAATGAATCGGTGAACACTCCATCAAAAACTAATGATGTACTAGTACATATAGGCTGGTTGAACATAATAAAAGAAGAAAAAGGGAAGATAGACTAAACATTTTTTCAGGGCAAAGAAAAAGAAAATAATTTTTTCTCTAGCAGAGATTCCCTACAGGAATACTGTAAAAGAAAATTCTGTAAAAAAAAAACAAAACAGGAAATGCCGAAAGGAAATTTGATTTTCAAGAAGAATGAAACACATCAGAAATTATAAATATCAGAGTGAGTATTTAAAAAGTACCTTATCTTTTAATGTATTTGAAATGTATGTGATGTCTTAATGCAAAAACTGTAACATTGCCTTGTGGGTTATAATGTATGTGGTTGTGATACATACAGAAAATACAGTAAAAAGGACTATTATGAGAATGGGGAGAAATACATCTACCTATACAATTACAAGACTTCCAAACTTTAAATAAGGTAGATTAATATCAACTCTAATTAGATATAAAAGTTAAGGATGTCTATTGATATCCCCATTGAAGGCACTAATCATAATAAAAGCATTACAATGGTAGTTTTGACACAAATATCCCGATAATCTGAAGAAGACAAGAGATAGAGAACAAAGGAAAAACTCAAGGAGAACAAACACACCAGAAATAGTAAATTGATAGACCAACATCTAACTAATCTATCATTATTTATGTAAAAATATCAAGGGATTGAACATTCTCCTTAAAAGGTAGAGATAATCAGAAAAATTAAACAGGAAGATAAAAACGTGTGTTATCTATAAAGGAACTAACTCTGCAAACATTTTTTTTCTTTTGAAGTAATTATAGACTTATAATAAGTTGCAACAATGGAACAGAGAGGTCTTGTGAACCCATTACCCAGCCTACTCCAAGGGGAACATTGCTCATAATTGTGAATTGCCAAAGCTAGGAAATAAATTGGCCGAGTAAAATCAGACCACAAATTATAAGGAAAGCGCTATAAATATAAAGAGGCACAGAAAGATTGAAAGTAAATGAATGGAAAAACATAAACTATGAAAATATCAAGAGTAAGGAGGCTGGAGTGGCAATATTCATTTCAGATTAAAAAAAAAGATTATCATCAAATAGAAAGTGGGATGTTGGGTAACATGTTTACACATTAACTGATTGAATTAAAGGACGAAAACAGGTCTATACTCAAAGTAGAAGATTTTGATTTCATTCTTCCCAGCAAAGGGTAGAACCAAAAGTAGTAAACATGTTTAACTTACTTAAACAGCCCTATCACCATGTTGATTGACTTTTTACAGTCAACACAGCATAAAGCAACAGCAAAATACACATATTTTTTCAAGTACATATGATACATTCATCCAAATGGATCACATGCTAGGCCATAAAACATTTATATTTTTGTGGAATTTTCGATTTCTCCCTTCAATGTGTCAGGTCTCTCTTTTCATGTATTTTGTGGTTCTAGTGAGGTTTATACACACTTATCATGGTCACATCTCCTTGAGGGGTTGATGCGCCTATCACTGTACAATGTTCTCTTGTCTCTAGCTCTGTGTTCTCTCATTCTTCTGCTTTTGACCTCTTCATTTCCTTGAATCTAAAGTGTGTCTCTGGCACACAGCATATAGTTGTGTCTTTTTAAAAAAAAAACTCCAGTCTGCGAGGCTCTAACGGGAGTGTTAAATCCATTTGTGCTTAATGCCATAATTGATGAGGTAGGATTTCCATCTGCCATTTGCTATTTGTTTTCTTATTTATTTATCTAGAAAGACAGAGTTTGGGGTGGGGAGACAGACAGAGGGAGAGAGAGAATCCCAAGCAAGCTCCACATCAAGCGTGGAGCCCAAGGCAGGGCTCGATCTCATGAACCTGAGATCATGACCGGAGCTGAAATCAAGAGTCAAATGAACCGACTAAGCCACCTAGCTGTCCCCTGCTGTT